CGCCCCCACACACAGGGGGGACTCCTTGCCCCACAGGGGACCCCCGGGTGCCCCAAAGCCTCCCTCCCTTTAGGGCTTCCCGTCCCACAGAAGGGCCCTTCGAGCCCCTTGTACCCCCCCGGCCCTCTGAAGGCTCTCTCCGCCTCCGCTATCGCTGCCCCTGCCCCGGGCCGAGCTCCGCCTCACCCGCCGGGCCGGGCCGGGCCGGGCCGCCAGCTCCGCGCTCCCCCCGCCGGGCGGACCGTAACCATCGAGGCGGGGCGCAGAGCGGCACGGGCCGGTTGACCCCGGAAGTGCGGCCCAACCCGGAAGTGCGCGAAGGAAGCAGGTCCGGGGCAGCGGGGCCGGCGGTGCTGGTGGCGGTGGTGCACGGCGGGACGGGCCCGGCCACTCTCCTCCCGGTGAGAGCCGCGTACCGTTACCTCACCGCGTCACCGTGACGTCAGGTATTACCTGGCGACGTCAGAGTGGGGGGGCGAGCGGCGCGCAGGCCTTCTCTGCTGCTGCGGGAGGCGTGCGGGGCCCGAGTCTTACCGTGGAGGCCCTGACGCCGTGGGGGGGAGAGGAGGGAAGGGGGAGTATTCGAGTGTGACGTCATGCCCCGTGACGTCACGCCTCCGTGACGTCATGCCTGTGAGGCCTGGGTTCCCTGGGGTGTAGGTCGGGTTCCCTGGAGCAGCCCGGCCTGAGCGGGGCATTTCCACCAGGGAAGAGGGGTGCGTGTGTGGGGCCGGGGCTGCTGGGGACAGGGAAAAAAAAAAGAAAAAAAAGCTTGTTTTGGCGTGCAGCCCAACCCCTGCCCTTCGCTCCTTACCTGGTGACGTGTCGGGCCACCACGGGACCATGCACAGGGCAGGACACTGCGTCCCGTTAGGCAGCGCCTGCAGGTGAGGTTGGCCCTGGTCTCCTGGAGATTCGCTCCCCCACGTCGGTGTTTGGGGCTTTGCCTTCTCCCCTTGGAGCTTTCGTGGTGCTGGCACAGGGTGAGCTCTCCAAGGGGTCTCTCCCTCCCTGAGAACGCATCTCTCGTCAAACCCACGCTCTCTGTTTTCATAAACTCCCCAGGAGTTAATGTCTTCACGGCTTGGCTACACGCAGCTCTCAGGTTTGAAAGAGGGCTAGAGAGGCCTTGCAGAGGTGGCCACAGCAGCCTTATTTCTGCAAGGCATCACACTACGAGTAGGAAGGTGTCCTCTGTGTAAAAGCAAGCCATTTAGATCTATTTAGTGCTCGTTATTACCCATTAGCTTGTTGTAAATGGCAAGATACATTTCCACGTGGAGTGCCAGAAGTGGTGGTGGGTAGAGCAGTCTGTGGTCTGTCCGGGGTGTCTCGGTTTATTGCTTTGCTTTTCTCCAGGTATGAAATGATGTTACAAGCACTGAATGTAAAGCCATATAACTTGCAACCTCTTGGGCCCCAATTTTGCAGCGCCTTATAAATGTGTGTAATTTTAAGTACTATCAGTACTTCCATTGACCTCAGTGGGACTACTTACAGTGCTCTAAGTTAAACACAGATACACTTTTTCAGGGTAAGAGCCAAAGATGACTCATACAAGTGGATGTATCATGGATTTTTATCTTCCCACCGCTATTTGTTGTTACAACTTATGGTTCAATAAAGGTTAAATATGTTGAGCTCAACTTCAGGTTCGGTTGTAAAATAGCCAGTTTGTATTCCTCACATTTCATCTTGCTTGGGCTTAATGCTTTCTTGAAGAATTGTGGTGTTGGCACTGCTCACGCTTTATCCTTTTTGGATCCTTTATCAGCTCCAGCAGCTGTTTTGCATAAGTGTGATGGCTGAAGAATGTGGATTTCGCAAATCATTTTATTTTCCCCAGCGCTCGGCAGTGAGAGATCATTGTCTGCTTAGCAATAATGGTTTTCCCAAAAGCGAAATGTGACAAACAATTTCTAATAAATCAGACCTCGAAGAGTTTAATAGTAAAATTCAATGACCCATCACCAATGTTTTATACATTATGCAGGCTCAGTGCAAATATAGTGGAGAGCATATGCAATTACTGAAGATAATTATCTTACTCTTATGAGCGAAAATGTTGCTGAGTCTTTCTTGTGTTAAATAATCGACTGAGGTTCCTAATGTCACTTTAGGAGGAGTGTCACAGACACTTGGAAATCTTAACAATTTATATTTCATGATTTAAAATTACAATAACACAGGCAAAGTATGGGAGGTACTGGAATTATTCTCTAATAAATCTAAAACATTATTAGTTGGGAGATGATTGTTTTGGAAGACTGGGAGTTATTCTGTGCGTTTGATTCGATGAGGGTTTGTCTTCGCTGCAGAGCTATCACCAGTTGTAATTGCATTGAGTGCTGTGAAGTCAAGTTCCCTGTGCTTTCAAAAGCCATTAAGTGCAGTGGCATTTTTAACTGAAGGCAGAGAGAGGTGTCGTGGAGCGATGTATGTTGAAGATCTGCAGCCACAGCACCTCGCTTCCTAGAGCAAGCCGTGACAGACGCTCAGAGGGCAACACTGTCAACCCAAATGTCAGTGGTCCACAACCTACTCACGATCCACAGCCTGCCTTTCAGAAATCTGCACGAGGTTACTAAGTTGTCAGCATCCTTCTGAAGGCTCTGAAACCCTCAGAAAATACGAGGGGTCTAAAAAAGGAAGGCTAAACCCACTCCTTCAAAGATTAGTTGTTGATCAGCTGATTAGTATTGGGGTTTTTTCAGACCTGTGTGCGCCGTGTGGCTGGGGTACTTTTCTCCACAGGCAGCGGGACTCAGTAGCACTTTCCCTAAAGTGTGACTGGTGGAAAACAGGAGTGAAAGAGGTCTTGGTATATTTTTAAGTGTTTCACTGTGGGAAAGTAGCTTCTTAGCACAGGGGTATAATTGAGTTCTCAGCGCTGGTCTCATAAATGAATGGACAAGAGGCATGGTAGAAAAAAGAGTGGGCCCAATTAAAAAAAAAACCAAACAAAAAAAGGGCAGGTGAAGGGATTGCTGTGTACAAGGAAACAAGTGGAGGGCCTGTTTTCCAGTTTCTGTTGCAGGATTCAGTGGGTGAGTTGGTTAGTCAAGCTTGAAGGAGAGTTGGACACAGCTGTCTTCTTTGCCTTCTTTGTTAGACTGATTTTGGCAATAGCCGCAACAAAAATGGGTCAGATACACGGCTCTCATCAGATGTCAAGTCTGGAATCGGGTTTGACCTCTGACAAATTATCTTTAACTGAAAAAAATGCCATCTGGGTAGTGTGTTATCAGCAAGTTTTCCTGTTCCTGAATATGCTTAATTTTTCTCTGCTGCTGTAGGTAGTGTTAATGAGAAGTGTCTGCATTATTTATTAAGGAAGTGTACTCCTTTGTATTGTGTTATTTATTAAATTAACTCCACTAGCATTTGTTGTTGGTAGAAGGCAAGATGGTAAGTTTGAAGTCACACAGTCAGTAGGATAAAGTGAGACATTCTTTAAGATAACATTTTGGCTTATGGCTTCTGAACTTTGTAAATTGTATTTTAGGGCTCTGGCGCAGTCTAGATGGAATCATAACTTCAGGGAATGCATATTGGATTAGAAATTTCCTTGAATCAGGCTTCCAGGAAAATTGATAACAGATTTCCTCTTATCGGTGTCATCTCATTTAGTTACAAGTTGGCTTTATTCTGGCTTCTAAAAAAGAAAAATCCTTTTGAGCACAGAATATATAATTAAAGGCTATAACCTAATGTCTTAAAAATATCTTTTGTGCACAATAATTTGAAGAGTGTGGAATCTGTCCCTAGACAAAACAATTTTTCAAGTTGCAGTGAAATATGGGGCAGAATTTGGGTAGAGTAGATGATAAATAAGGTATAGCCACTGAGATGTAGCAGCATAAAGTGAAAGGAGCTTGTTGTAAAACAAGCAAGAGAAAAAGACGCAGAGTTGTAAGATGCAACATCAGCAAGAGAGATTGCAAAAAAAAGGAAGCATATTTAGACATCAGCACCCTGATATTCAGAAAGGGACTTCCTCTCTGTGGCTGTAGATAACTGCAGAGACAGTTTTTGCAACAAAAGAAACTGTAAGTGTTTTATGCAGTATTTAGACATCTGTAACTGACCGTGCCTCTAAAATCAAGTAAGTAGATGTATAAATGCTAAAAATCGGATGTATGAGTGCTTTGGGTTTTTCTAGATGCTAAATGAAAGTCTGGCTTTTGAAAACCAGGGCTTAAAAGCACTGATATTGATGGGAAGGGAGGCAGAAATTATGTCCTCTTTCTTGCTTTTCTTCCTCTATTAAAGAAAGCACTTCGTCTCTGCTAATAAATGCAGAATCCACTTTCCGGCCCTAAAGATAGTTACGCATTTCAAGTAGTCTGAACAATTTGTTCTTTTTTAAAAACCTTTTTCCCCTTAATGATTATTGTTCCTGATACTATTTATTTGGATGGGAAGATGAACATCTGGAGGACTGAAGGTTGTGCTAATGCTGCCTTACCCTCTTTCCATTACTGTGTTCTGAGCAAAGCTCTGATTTGGAACCTCTCAGCTGACAGTTTATATTATGCTAATCAAAATCTGTTTACTGGAAATGAAATTTGAATACGCCGTAAGCTTGCTGTCATTAATAAACTTGATTTTTTTTCTTTTTTTTTTTTTCTTTTTCCAGTTGGATTTCCAGTCTCCGCTTCTAATATTGATGGTCCTGAAAGTGCATTTGGATCCAAGACATTTTCTATCACTGAACAAATCAAGAGCCTCCTCTCTTATCTCAGAGCAATACAGACAGCTTAATATCTTATGACCTCATTTCTCCAAATTAAATGAAAAAAGAATTTTCTCTAGCTTTCCATGAAGCTCAGCTATTGCCTGTTAATTTTGACTGTTAGTGCTGATCTTTCAATTGAATTTACACTGGAAAATGTAGCTTCAAACGGGACAGTCGCTTTTGGGTCTTTCAATACATCACTTCATACAGTGACTCAAGCTTTAATAAGTTCTCCAGCACACCATGACATCATAGCCAAAGAGGGGACCAGTATTTTAATTGAATGTAAACTGAACATCAGCCAGCATGAATATGTTCTTTGGTATAACTCCAGAGGACACCTGCTTCAACAGGAAGATGAAGGTGAGCTTTCCTGCTGTTTTCTATCCTTCAGTATTCCCCTTTTATGCAGTTTCAAAAACCTCTGGGACTTACCATTTTCTCTCTCTGTCCTCCCATTTTTACAGTAGGGAGATAAGGAAAGAGCAAAAAGCCCTTTCCCCTCTGGCATGTGCCATGAGAAATCATTTAGTTCAAGAGCTATCACAGTATTCAGTACAGAAGAAA